AAGGAGCACCGTCATGTTGTAGCCACATATTTTCCTTTAAATGGGCAGGAATGTTCTGCAAAAGTTGAGGCAAATCATTTTGCAAAAAATGCAAATATGCGGCACCATTCAAGTGTCCCTGAAAGAAATGTGGCCCAACTATAAAGTCACCCATAATACCACCCCAAACATTGACACTCCACTGTCGTTGAGTATTCACTGATCTCACTAATTTGGGATTTTCTCTTGCATAATGGTGAAGATTATGACGATTTGGGCTACCACTTTGAGTGAAAGTTGATTCGTCAGAAAATAATACTTTTTGGAAAAAGTTAGGTGTTGCTCGTTCCATTTCCAACCCCCATTGGCAAAATGTTCTCCTAGTCTCTAAATCAGGACCCAACAGTTCTTGGTGAAATAATATACTATAATCATGATATCCGCAGGAAACACCGCTTCCGAAAATCAACCTCAACCAATTTTTTTTTAAATAAACCAAATTGTTCCTTTCGCCAGAAGATTATTAATAATAACTAAACCCATACGCCTAGTTACGTAACTGCAATTTATTATTTTATATTTATGTCCGTTGAAAATGTAAGGCTCTTCAGTTAGCTCTGGGTCTACTTCTTCACCCATTCAGGAAGTATCAACAAGAAAAAGTGACCATAATATTAATACAGGGTGTCAATTTGACAATTTCCCACCCTTAATATCTTTACATATAAATACCCGGTATAAGTAATGTTAATAAAACCTTGAAAATGTGTTTCAAAGCAGAAAAGGTAATTTGTGGACAGTCTTTTGACGGCGACCTTACAGTTCTAAACAGATACTTGGTTATTTGTGAGTCAATTATTTCTAATTTTTACGACGCAGCCAATCCGAACAATATTCAAAGTGTTTATTTACTGAGTTCACTAATTGCCAAATTATCATTAACCCAGATGTAATAAGAAAGAAGCCAACAAAAACAAACCAATCACGACAATCAACCAGAGCGCTCTTTCCTGATCAACATAGCAGTAAGCGCTCCGGTCACCCTCAACCTAAGCCATCATATCCAGAACGTGAATTGTACAAATTACAATAAAAATATCAACAGGCCGAGCCTAATTTTGTTTTTTAGTTTATCACTGAGGCAGCAGGAATTTGTTTTGAACTTGAACTTTTAGACATGAATGTTTCTTCGCGTTAATTATAAGTTATTTACTGTATTTGTCTGAACAAAAATATTTTAATTGTTCAAACCGCCCACGGTCATTTGAAATAGAACTTCAAGAGCTCTAACTACTCTCAGGAAATACCGCTGATCTTCAAGGATCATAATTAATTGTAATACTATTTCAAGTTGTAAAAAGCGTAAAAGAGTACAGCCGCACTTGAATAAGCGTGTATTAATTAAAAGTGAACTCAGTTTTTAAAAAACGGTTTGTCATTCTTCAATCCGTTAATTCAAGTCTTTTATAACAAAATGCAAAATAATCAGGTATCACCCAGCGGGTTAGTTAGTTAGCAAAATGTAGAAACAAAACTAATTTACATCAAATAAAAAGTATAGTAAGTTTTTCCTTTAGCGTAACTATTGATTTAGTGATCACGGCAGATTACTAATTATATATTCTATATTTTGTTGGAGATAATAGCCAGTTGTTTTAGTTATCGTAAAAAGGATGTCAAGCGTTTTGCTTGACGGCCGTCGATAATGTCATTAATAAATTGTGCATCTATATGAAAAGTAGCTAAATCTAACTTTGTTACTAGGATTTCCAGTTAAGAGATAATCAGCTCAAATATTGTGACAAACACAGGCAAAATGTAGATACGGTTAAAAATATTTTATCAACAAGAATTCGTTAATATTATACTGATTTAAAATATTTAAAACATATCCATACAAAATCGAGGATTTTAGGAGCCCATCTAGAATTTTAAAAAATGCAAACATTATATAGATTATAATCGTACCAATTGTGACTGCAATTAGTGGAGAACTTTTCTCTTCAATTAATTACTGTTCAAAATAACTCAGATTAAACTTATTAAAAA